ATCTCCATATTAATGTTAATAATCATGCTCTCCCAAACGTTTTTAATTGGATTAAGTCGTCTTTGAATCAAATCAAGTTAAATATTGATGGTTTTGTTATCAATGTTGGTGCTGGTTGTGGCGGTATTATCCATGATTATTAAGGTGTTTTTTTATGTCCTTTGTCTCTAATATCTCTAAATGTAATTTATTTTGGTTGAGACGATTGCTCTTCTCCAAGGTCTTAAAATCTGCTAGGATAACCAAATAACACATATTTGGATTGAACTAGACTCCAAATTATTACTTAACTCTCTCTTCCAATTCTTATCTTAATGCTTCCCTCTTCTATCTATCTCACCAAATTATGTCTATTTTGCAACACTTTGACTTTAAAATCTCGCATATTTGGAGGGAAGACAATTGTGCTATTGATTATCTTCGCATAAAAGGTTCTACCATTTCAAATTCCCTTATTTTTGTATAATATTAATGATCTCCTTGAGGTTAAGGGGATGATACGACTTGATATGATTTATCTTGTATTTGTGTTCTTCTTGTTTGTATTTATCACCTTGGTGATTCTTTTGCCAGTGTAAAGCCTTATATTTAGCTTATGTTTCTTCCATTCTATTAGTGGGATGGGGTAATTGTTGGGTTAAGTGATTTTGCTCTATTTTTTAGTTTTGAGTGTTTAGTCCTTTCTGGTATGTTATTGGTGTTGTTGTTGTTGGGCTCTCTCAATTAAGAGATATTTCTTCTTGTTTAGAGTTCTACTTGAGATTGTTTGGAGTGCTCAGGTTCGCTTATTTGGATTGTTTGGGTTAATTATTCACGGTCTACCCTCTTGGCTCTTGAATGGAGATTGGATTGGAGCATTTTCATATGTAATGGTGATCTTTTCATGTGGATGCTATTTTTTATTGATTGATTGGCTCTTTGTTCCTATTTTTTCAGGTTCTTCAGGTAAGTCAGTTTTGCTTCTGTCCTGGTGTTGAATGGAGAATATTCCGGTGGATGTTTTTACTCTTAATTATGCTTTTATTCAATCACCTTGTTGCTTGTGTATGCATTAATCTGGTTTATCTATTGCTTGGTTTGTTGTTCTTGATTTTCCTGCTTCATGTTGTATTTCATCATCTTGTTTGTGTGGATTTATCCTTTCATTGAAATCATCTTTGCATGAGATTATTCTTTATTTCGGATGATTCACCTTTAAAGTGTTGGCTGGTAGGTCTTCTTCTCTAGAAAGGAATTTACTCACAAGGTGTTGTATGTTTGGGATCGAGTTTCAATAATGTTTGTTAATCTTCAACTGTAATTATTTTTGATTTCATACCATTTGGCAGGAGGAGAGTTGGTTTTTGTCATTCACCTTTAAAGTGTATACAATTTTTGTGTTCTATAGATTAGTCTCTCTCTTTTTATTGTAGTTCTTTGAGCATTAGTGAGCTATGAATTTCTCTAAAGACCTTGTAATATTTTTTTTTTTAATGAAATAAAATCTGTCTTCTAAAAGAAAAAAGATTGAAGTACTTATGAACTATGTAGT